CTGGGCACAGCCCCAGTTTGGTTCAGGACTCCAGTGCACCAGCAGAGGAGAATTCGAAAGCTCTCTTCACTGGCTTCTTAAAATTCTGCCCCACCCCGAGCAGGAATTTAAAAAAGGACAAACGCCTTACTTGTCTGAATCTGAAGGGACTTTTTAACCCGTGTGTGAGAACTGTAGGGGGTGGGGGATTTGGGGAAGGAAATTAATCTGGGAAGGAAGGGGTAATAAGAACATAAAGAAAGCATGCTGGATCAGGCCAGTGTGATCCATCCAGTCCGGCACTCCACACACACGGTGGCAGCCCAGCTGCCCCAGGAGCCCTCCAGCAGGGCGGGTGCCAGACCCCCACCTGCCCAGCCCCTCAGCAACCGGTGTCTGCAGGCAGGCCAAAGGAGGTAGCCCATGTCCAGCGAGGCTAGGAGCCACCGGTAGCCTCCTCCTCTGTGAATCTGGCCAACCCTTCTTGGAGCCACTCAGATCGGTGGCCACCGCCACTTCCCATGGCAGCAAATTCCACAGTTTAACTAGACAATCAATTTCCTTTTATCTGCCTTAAACTTCCAAGTAATCCGCTTCATAGGAGGTTCAAGTGTTCTGGGAGAAAAAGAAAAATCTCTCTTCCTCTTCTTTCTCCACACCATGCATTATTCTAAGCACCTCTGCCGTGTCTCACCTTCCTCACCACTGAACTGAGCGCCATGTTCCCAGTGTGGTGGCGCCCAAGAACCTCTCTTCCAGCACACACTGCCTTGATCCAAAGCGTGGCTGCGCACACTTACTCTCAAGAAAAAGCTATGGCCCAGCGACACACTATGCAATTAAGATTAGGTGACCTTGAGGATCTGGACTTGGCAAAGGTACTGAAATACTGAAATATGCCCTGGAATGTTGAGAATTGTCATGGAAAAATTGTTGTTCACCCTCTTTAATCCATTTTCCTTCACAATCAAGGTTGGATTAAAGATCTTAAACAGGGGTAGGGGGCCTGGGGTGGGGAACCGCCAATTGCTTAGGCTGTAATGCCCATAAATCTAAGCCAGTGTGGCCAACAGTCAGGGGTCATGAGACATGTAGTCCAGAACATCTGGAAAGGTCTCTGGTTGCCTAAACAAAGCTCAAGCTTCAGCTCAAAGGGTGATACCAAGGGAGCAAGTCCTGTTGAATTCTGTGGGCTCCAGTCCAGGGTTACCATATCGGGGAACACACCATGTTTAAAGGTAAAGGTTTCCCCTTGACGTGAAGTCCAGTCATGCCTGACTCTGGGGGCGCTGCTCATCTCCGTTTCCCAGCCGAGGGAGCCAGCGTTTGTCTGCAGACGGTCTCCGTGCTCATGTGGCCGGCATGGCTAAACACCGAAGTGCACGGGACGCTGTTACCTGCCCACCGAAGTGGCACCTTCTTACCTACTTGCATTTGCATGCTTTCGAGCTGCAAGGTGGGCAGGAGCTGGGACGGAGCAATGGGAGCTCGCCCTGTTGTGCAGATTCGAACTGGTGACCTTTCGATCACCCAGCCCAGCAGCACAGCGGTTTAAACCACTGCGCCACCTGCGGTGCATTAGTTCTGTTTTGCAGCCATTCTCTGCACAATCCTATTTAACCCTTTGGGGAACCAAAGTTCAGTGATGCTCGAGCACACTCCAGAGTCTCCATGGGCAAAGTGGGCTTCAAATCCACACACCCCACGCTTGTCCAATGTTCCAGGCACAGGGCAAGGTATCTTTCAAAAGGTGAAATATAGATCCCATGGGGAAACATGCAGTAGTAGAGAAACCTGCCTAGATCTCTCAAGGTCTCCACAAAGAAAGAAGCGAAAGGTCAGCCGGATGTGTTGGAACTGTCACCTCCATCGCCCCCATGGCCATAGTGTTGTGTGGGATGATGGGAGTCATAGTCCACAACATCCAGGAAGCATCAGATTGGAGAAGGCTGTAGCTTTCCTGTCCTTTTACCCATTTGTAACAAACCCAAGTCCCTGCAATCGAAGCACATGAGCATTTAGTCCCTGTTTACTGCTCCTCTTTTCTTCCTTTCTCTTCCCCTGTGCTGGATGTGAGATTGGAAGCTCAACAAGGCAGACACTGTACCTTTTCTGCAAACTGTCACTAACACAAATGGCTCTGAATCATTAAACAATCTACAATGCCCAGGATGTTTTCTGATTGTGACCACATTTGGCACCTCTGCAGAAACAGCTGGAGATGCAGGAGCTTGAAAAAATTGACTAAGATGTACCCCTGTGTCCTAACACGAGCTTCTTCAGCGCATTGGGTCGGATTCAGATTTAGCCAGACTTAAGAGTAGATCCTCCGTTAGTCGCAGTTAACTTAAGTTCCACTGATTTGATCGACCTACTTTAAAGAATATAATTTAAAGAAAGATGGAGTCTGGATCCATCCTGTTGCTTGAGTCTTTCAAGGAGGTCGATAAAATGTGACACTGTGGAATGGGTGGATCGCCTGCTAATAGCAATCGAAAAACAGCTATTGCTGCAATACGAAGGCTAAAGATTGAGGTTTCCCTAGGATGGTAGCCACAAGAATCACACTAGCAGATTTTACGTGAAAGAGCAGAAAATGAGGAACTTAAAAAAACCCCCTGATGAATCTAAAAGCACATCTGACCTCAGCAACTGCTGAGCTTTTTCAGCTCTGCTGCAAAATAACTTTGCCTCTGTAGAATCATTTAGGACACTCAATTAACCAGCTACATTTTCATTCTGAAACTTTTTCTCAGTTTATAAGAAAGAGACGTAATAGAGACAAATATATAAATGTTTGTTTGACTTACTCTGCATATGCTATTAAAGACTGAATTGTATACGAAATGCATATATTAGGATACACTTACATCACAGTATTAAAATGCATCGTAGTATTTTGCACTGTGTTTCTGCTACGTATGTGACATATTTCTAACAACAGTAATAATTTAATCAAATAGAAAAGAACTAGCGAATGTCACAGCTGGTGGAAATGGAAGACAAAGGCAATGGCATACTTTTAAAAGAACTCCCAAAAGTAATAGAAGTAATGTTCCATGACACACAATTTCTTTTCTTTTTCAAAGGGAAAACAGAACTCGCAGGATGAGCCAATGTTGATCGGCAGAATCTCACGTCCTCTTCTACAAGCTCCCATCGAGATGAATGGGGCTCTGCTAAAGACATGTGCTACAGTGCAGGAGCTTGCCAAAGGAGGCTTCAGATCAACATGACAGAGCCAGGTCTGTGCTGCGTCCCCTGCGTTGGATCCACTGATTCCAACTGAACCTCTGGGTAGCCATCGCTCCAGCTGTTCAAGTCAGGTCCCTTTGCTGCAGTTGCTTTCCCTTCCCAAAGAGTTAATAGCTGTTTAGATCCAGAGTATTCAGGTAGGGGTTAAACACCCCCGGCGGCTTCTGTGGGGTGGGGGGAATCCAACCACAGCACCTCTCACTTTCATCTGCGGTTTGGCCCTCTGCAAAAGCCCCCCCCCCAACACATTGCGCATGGAACATGGAAAGGGAAGAATTTTGCCTGTGCCAACTGGGGTGGGTGGCATGAGGAACACACGGACTCCCAGCACTGGGCATGGCTCAAGGTGGAAAGAATTAGAGGTACCTGACGGGGCTTGTCGGAGATGTTCTGCTGCCCAAGGTGAGGAATAAACGGTCCCACATTCTCATTCCACAGAGAAACCAGCCGGAACCGCTGGATTTTATGTCAACAGTGGTGGCGGGACATGTTCTCTCATGCTCTGGAGTGCAGCACCCCAGATGAAGGGGTGCAGAGCCAGTCGGGCAGAACCTCCAGCTCACCGATGCCGGCACCCCATGCATCTTTTCCCTTTGCCTCACTGCAGGGCTGGCCTGCTCCAGGAACCCTTTCACACGTTCCTTTCTCCTTGGGTTCACCAAGCCACACACCTGCAAAGATGCCCAGTAAGAAGCAACCAAAGTGATGTGCAGAAGGTAGTTCCCTCACCCCATCAAGTCTCTACAGAGATTCATCCTCTGTCCAAGATGAGGGCTGCAGGGACAGTGAGCTTGCAAAGCAGGTAGCTTGAGGCAGTGTTGCCTGGTGGTTAGAGTTCTGGACTGGCACTCGGGAGATCTCGGTTGAAATCCCCGCCTGACCACAAAACTCCCTGGGTGATGCTGAGCCAGACTCTGACTTTCCACCTAGCCTACCTCACAGGCTTGTTGTGAGTCGAAGGGGAATGGAAGAGGCCCCTATAACCCTCTCTGTGGACAAAAAGGTAGCTAAGGAAATCTTAAAAGAATTCTTTCTTTGCTTCCTCTTTCACCACTCCAGGTGTGGAGGGAGATACAAAGCTCCAACTCCTGCACTTCTGGCAGCACCAACCAAGAGTATTTAAGAGGATCAATTACGGTGAATGATTAAAACTCGTAGCTATTGAGAAGAGCAGCAGCCACGCCAGATTCAGAGGGCAGCGCATGGAAGGGCTTTCTGTGGAAATCACATGTGTGTCATGTCGGGCACGGTACAAAATGTGGCCACTGTCCCAGAGCGTCCCTCCGACGGGATGAAGGAGACCCGACTCCCCCCATTTCTTCCTACATCCTCATCTTACCCTAAGTCATCTCCCCTGGCCCGGTGACCTCTGGGTGCCGGCTGGGGAGGATAGGGGTTGTAGTCCAGCAGCTCTGGAGGCCACCCGGCTAAGAGGACGGGCGGCCTCAGCGGAGCGCCAGTGCGGGGAGGTGGCCGGACGCGGCCGGGGGCGCGGGAGAGCCGCGCTGCAGTCCTCCCGCGGCCACCGGCGGGCCGCTCTCCGCCTCGCCACCTAGCCCACCTCGCAGGGCGGCTGTGAGGGTAACGCAACGACGGCAGAGAACGCGGGGGAGGACCCGGCAGGGAGGGAAAGCGGGCTAGAAACGCGCCGACACACGCATGCACGAGCGGACGGGAAGCGATGGACCGACGCCCGCCCGCCCGCGGCCCCGGCCTCCCCCCGCCGGGCAGGGGGCGGGAGGCCGGCGCGGCGCTCGCTTACTCACCTCGGCGAGCAGGCATCCGGAGAGGGACGCCCACAGGCACCACCAGCGCCCGGCCGCCGTGCGCTCCATGGCCCGGCGCGGCGCGCACGGGGGGCGCACACGGCAGTGCCTCCGCGCCCGCGGGAGCGCCTCCGCGCAGGAGCCGGAGCTGCGCCGCGCCGCGCCCGCGGGTGGGCAGGGGCCGCGGCCGGG